TTTAAAATCTGTATTTTTTACTCTCTGTTCGTCGTTTGACTTGTGAGCTCTGATCCGTGACACCTCGGCTAGATGGACTTTACTAGATCCTCTCTGCCTCAACGCGATTAGTTCCTCCAAGCTCATATTTCTCGATTTAAGAAGACGTTCCAACCTCTTACCTGCCGATCCAGAGGCAAACAATTCAAAGATCTCGGCCCGAGCTTCCGGCTCCACTTCTGATATAATATCGTCGTAACTCTTCTTCCCAGTTGTACTTTTATTCTGATGGTTTCTCAGATTATCACTATCATTCTTTTCCACAAGTGGACTCTTCGAAAGGGTGGCAGTGGGATTCATTGCATCCAACGCAGATTCTAACTCTTTCATTATGGTTTTACTCATGTCACTCTCACCAGTGAAGTTACCAATTTGAGTGCTCTGTTCCAGATCGTAATACATCACTGTATCCGGTGTATCACTCTGGTATTCTTTCTCAGAAGAATTGTCATACTCTTCCTCAGAATGGTTCATGGTTACGCGTTGCTCTTCCTTTTTGAATATTCTACTTCTGTTGATACTGTCCGAGTCGTTAAAACCTTGTCCTTGGTTTCCAGGACTCGCAGGATTCGTCAATCTCGAACGTTCTGTGGGATGTAGTATCTTCTCGATGCTCAACGTGGATCCTTTGTCCTCGAACTGGTCCTTGGAACTCGCTAGCTTCGGTGTCTCGCCAGCCTCTCCATCTTTCATCATCAGCCACACAGGCGACACGCCGTTCCGTCCCTTCTTGTAATCGGTGAAGTCTGAGAATTCCATGATTTCGTCCTCGTCGAAACTCTCGGCACGGATTTCACCACCGGCTGGCGATTTCGTGCCGGCATCGTCCGCTTGCATGAGCTCCATGGAATTCGTTGCGACCGGTAACGGCGTCGGTGTCGTAATCATAACTCGAGTAGCATCGACATTAGCGGGAATCGATTTTCCAGTCGTTGCGCTTACTACTTCTGGATACACATCGCCGCCATTTACTTTATTTAAAGATTCTCTCGCGCTCGCCTGGCTGTTTCGCAAGCTCGTACCCGCTGGAATCATCGGAATTACCAATTCTTCCTGAGGATTCTTCGCCTTTGCTGACCCCGCGGTGGTGAACGTCCATTGCGGCCTCTCGGTGGTGAAGAGCTTCGCGAACGAGTTGGTCATCATTCTCGCAGTCTCTTCGTAATCCTGGCTCTCCTCAGTGTCTCTCATCTTCAGGGCGTTGATCACGTCGGCTTTACCCTTCAAGAGATCGTTCAGCGTGAGATTCCTCCGCTGCAGGATCTCGGACAAGCTCAAACCTTCCTCCTGTTGCATTTTCAACAGAGATTTCAACTCGACGGCGTTCTGTAGAAACGGGGCGTTTTTAGTTGTAGTTTCTGGGGGATTTTCTTGATTGTTCGCTCTCGACCAGGGCCCAGAGTTGCTATTTGTTCCCCCTTCGTTTAACGACGTTTCATTTTCTACCAGGGTGAATTCATAATTCTGCGGTGGTCTCCGTTTCCTTGGCCGTGGCTTTAAATACTCCTCGTCGTTGAGTTCATGCTCGTAGTCATTCGGTCGTGCTTGAAATATCTCTCTGTGCCTCGCCGACGTTTCCCTATCCTCTTTAATGCCTCTGTTTTCATCGTCGTCGCCTATTTTTTCAAACGTAGCCGCGTTTCTTTCACTATTCCAGGCTCGATTTCTCTTTCGCGGCGAGACCTCATCTCGTTCGTCGTACTCCCGTTTGATTTCTGTTGGCCCGTGGTCGTCGTAATCGTTATATGGTAAACGACGGTTGTTCCTGGTGCGAAGGAAATTCTCACGTCTATTGCTCTGACGATATTTCGGTGTACGACGATCGTAGTCGCCCTCCTCCTCGCTGTTGTCGATCTTGCCACCGGAGAACCGGGAAAATTGGGAAAACGGAAGTAGAGGAATCGTGTCGCCGTCTCGCCATTTTGGTTCCAAGGCCTCGCCGTTGTTTCGCCATTTACCCACTAGCTCGGCCGTGTTCTCGTCCCAGTCTTCTTCTGGTCGGCCTCGCGTTTCCTTCTAAAAATAATTCAATGTTTGAAGTTATTTCAGTTCGTGGAAGATTCTTTGAGCAGAGTTTCTTAGTATGTGATGTGTAAATGGAGAGATGAAGTACGTCGTTCAGGGAAAATTGAAATTTTAATTATTGATCAGATGAATTGAACACGCCATCTTTATATTATATGTATAATATATTTGTATATATTTATATACAATATTATTTAATTATTTAAAATTGTGTCTATACTCATATTATTCATTCATATTTTATTTTAAATTACTTTAAATTAATATACAGTTCATTGTATAAATAATAATACAGTTCATTTTAAAAAAAAGTAATATATATTGCATAAACATTAAAATTTATAAATATTATAAATGATATATAGTATATAAATAATATATATATTTTAATCATTCTAAGATATAAAGTATAGAATAGTAATAAAACAGTAAGAATAGAAACGTAGTTAATTCATTTCAAATGTTAGAATACAAAGGATAACGTATATTAATAGGTATAAAACTCTTCAAATTATTTCAATCACTCTGATAATACAGAGCATGTATTACTCAGGGAATATGCTTATGCAACTTTGCTTATGCAAATTCCTATTATTATGAATACAATTAAAGTATTGAATATACACTATAATACATACATGCATTTTTGCATCTTCAAATTTCTTATAAATATTTAAATATCCACATCTGAATGTTAATAATACGCATAGAGTTAGATTACTTATTCAATTAATTATTGCAGTGTTTTAAAAAATATTTCACAGTATTAATCACTCTATCTTTATTTGTTTTTAAATCTTTCTAGATTTAGTTCTTTTTTCAAATTTAAGTTTTAAATTGAGATATAATTCAAATTTTTTACAGATTGCAATTAATCACAATCACAAAGGTCATGATTAAAGATTTAGAAAGAATGTAACTGCACTTCCGCCAAAATGAATCTTTCATCCTGTAAATATATTTTTTTGAGAAAGGAAAGACGTGGTCGTGGAAAAAGAGATATTCCAGCAAACAGTATAATATTTTCTTGAAGCAATTTCTCTGTTTCACCAGAGAAAGAGTTACAACTTGTCCCAGTTTCTAGAATCACCCTGTAAACACTTTAATTGCACTTTTCCTAAGCATCAATCGAATTAGGTATAATGGACCTAGGATCAACTGGAAAGAAAGTTGATTTCATTGAGAGTTTGATTAAATTTTAATCATGATCAAATGCATTTTAATCGTTAATGCATTCTAATATATAGGTATATTTTCTAACTTTGTAATTTTAGAGACAACATTATTTCAGTATTTCTTAAGTTGATCATTATTTCAGTAAAATTCCAACTTTTTGAGCTACTAAACTAATTAGTTTTTAAATTTATTCTTGATTCTGATTTAATTTTGATATTTCATCGATTATTGTTATTCATATTATAGTTGTTTGAAGTATAGTATTGATAAGAGAAATTAAACAATGAATCCAAGATACGTAGAAAATTGTTTTTTAAAGTATCTATTATAATTCAAATAAACAAGAAAAGACGAGGTGAGAATAATATAATTATTAC